GCCCGGCCCCCTGGGCCCCACCCCATGGAGGGCCCCCTGCCCACAGGCCCCCTCCCTGCCCCTCTGGGCGGCCCTCCCTGCAGCCCCTGCCTCAGCAGGCCCTAGTCACCCATGCTGGCCCTTCCCCCTGTGCCCCCCCCCATGGAGGGCCCCCTGCCCACAGGCCCCCTCCCTGCCCCTCTGGGCGGCCCTCCCTGCAGCCCCTGCCTCAGCAGGCCCTAGTCACCCATGCTGGCCCTTCCCACGTGGCTGGTGGTGTAATTGCTTTAAATAATCAATAAAGAACCAAATTCCTGGCTGCTGTAATAATTCCCAACCCGCTCCATGGCCGGCTCCGGCAGCATGTCAGGGAGTCCCGAGACCTCTCAGAAAATCACACAGACCAGGGGGCGCTGATTCTGGAGTCAGTTGCATTGGTGTAAATCCAAAGTAACGCCGCTGGCAGGGGAAGGGGAGAAAATCTGGAGTGATTGCACTGACACCAATGGAGTTACCCCAGATTCATCCTGGTGTCACTGAGCTCAGAACCAGGACCACAGAACTTAAACAGCCGTACAGCCCCCGGGTGGCGCCTGACCCGTTAATACAGTGCGGCAATCCGAGACCCGATCTGCAGTGAATCCAGCAGAAAGCAATTGCTAGGGCACGCCAAGGGCAGAGCACACAGAACTAGGGCTAAAGAAAATCCTCTTGGCTGGAAGAGTTGAAGGAGTTGGGGGAACTTGACCCTTCTCCTTGACTCTGCTTGACGGTACAAGTCAGGTCAGGTCTTGGACGAGCAGGGATGTTAAATGATCCCAACTGTTTTCTCCTGCATCCTCTGCAATAGGGTTCAATACAAATGTGCTTGGTGCAGTATCTCCACTGACCCTGAGCGCCTGGCGGAGTTAGATAATACACCGTCCAAAAACCAAACCAACGGCCAAGGGAGAGGAACTGAGAGGCACAGGGAGGAAGGCAGAGGAGAGGAAGGAAACACTATAATAAGCCATGGCCACAGAGATGGAAACCAGGCCCTTTCGATCCAGACAAGCCGCTTGCACTTAGTAACAGCCGGGCTAGTTGACAATTTTCTGCCAAAATGTACGACACTTTTGTTGCAAAACACCAGCCCGAGGGAGCAAAATGTTCTGTCCAACTCATTACAGGGTCTACAGCCCTCTCACCAAAACAGGGACAGCTTTCCAGATGACTTCCCAGCAGGCTGCTTCCATTCCGGGTTCCAGAGCCCACAGCTCTGACCCGGCAGCCTGTGACAAAGTGGGAATTGTGTTTACCTTGTTAAGCTGCGTGGGAGTTCTACTGTCCTATAGTAATGCCATGTGTGTGCCTCGGTTTCCCCAGAGCACTGCTCCAGTACCTAGAGGGTGATGGGAATTGCAGGTGTGACTCCCACTGAAGGAGGCTACCCCAGATCAATGCACCTTCATAACCTGAACCAGGAGAGGGTGCAGCCAGATGACACCTGGAAGAAGGACAAAGGCCGGAGGAGGGGTTCGGACCAGGCTGTTAGGCATGCGGGTGACTGGTGGGCTCAGGGCAGAGGGAGGGGGTTAGGGCCCCTAGCTCTGGGGCCCCTCTCCACAAGATGGATTGTACTGGCTGCTTCTGGATCCTGTGCTGACAAGTCTGTTCTACGCGGTGTCCCTGTCGACTAATAAACCCTCTCTATTCCCCTGCTGGCTGACAGTGGATGGGGGCGCAGGGCCCGGTGACTCCCCATGCAGCCGGTGACCCGGACCTGCTCTGAAGACTGCTCAGGGTCTCTGCCACACAGAGGGGAGTCCACCCGCCAGCCCTGAGCCCCCTGATTGCGGCTTTTTTCTCCATAGCAGGGTCCAAGCCATCCCTGGGAGCTCAACTGGAGCCAGGGATCTTAGGGCTAGCAAGGCTCCTTGCTCAGCCAGGCTCCCCACAGTGGAATGGGGCACAGGGGAGCCCTGGGACCTCCAGCACTGGACCCCAGTTCTGCAGTTCTCCGTGGAGCTGAGAGCCTGGAAACCCCGAAGAATAAACCTGGAGCTGGCTGGTGCCACTGAGGAGAGAGAGAAAGAGGCGAGAAGCGGGGCTGAGCCAGAGGGACGGTGACTAAAAGCCTCAAGTCTTTTGGGTCATTCCCAGTCACTGCTGCCTGTTTCCATCCTGATGATCTTCTCCCGTGGCAGACACATCCATGACTCATGTCACTGACAGGCACTTGACCCGCACCCTCCTGGCTTCGACTTTGGTTCTGCACAGTGCTGAGCGATTCCTGGCGGTGCCTTCGCTTCCCACTGACATCCAGGGGCGATAAAGGGACCCAGCACCTTGCAGGATGGAGCCTTGGCTGTGGAGCTCTGGCTGTGCTGTAGATGATGTCTGGCCCTTTGATTTTGGGAATAAAATAACCCTCAAGCTTGTAAACGTGAGTGAAAGGGACACGGTCTGTGCCCAGGGGCGTGTTACTAACAGCACCTCAGATGGGGACGTGTTCATCTTACAGCCACCACTTTCCTCTTGCCTGGTTCACTTGCTTGTGAGAAGTGGCAGCTCATGGCACTGTAATGGTGAGAGATTGGCCAGGAATGAGGCTTTGCTCTCTTTTCCAGATCTGGTTTACAGTGCCCATTTGCCAGCACTTTGTGCATCGTTGATTTCACCATGCCAGGCTAGTCAGTTTCCTGGACTGCCAGGGTGAGATTTTCATCTGTTCCAGGAGAAAACAATTCCTTTTAACACGGAAAAGACCTGGCTGCAAAAGCCTGTGGGTCAGCAGGGGCTGGACCCGAAAGGCTTTCGGCATCATTATCTGAAACTGACGAAATGTCAGGCTGATGCTGGCCTGTTTGAGCTGAAATCATCTTTAAAAGCTCCCTACCTGTCCCCATTTGTGCTGTTCGCATGGGCAGTTTGCACTTCACACACAGACCCATTGGGTTGTTTCCTTCTTTATTTGAAACGTCGCCAGATCCCAGACACAGGACACAGGCCGCGTGTACAGGGAGACGCGGCACCACTTAGCTTTAGACTTGCAGCTGTTTCAGAGGAAGAGCCGGGCCAGGGGAAGGCACCATCCCACTCTCACACATTAGCTCAAGGCTGTTTGATCTGGTGGTTTGGAAGCAGAGGGGGACGCAGCCTGGGCTAGGGCTGAACAAAGAGGCAGGGCTCTTCTGCTGACCCACCCCGTTAGCCGTGCGAGAGCCCTGCGCGAGTTGGGCACATGCTGTGTTTGAATTTCACTGGACTCTGAGGTGTGGGGGTGGCCCTCTAGGGCAGGGGTGGGCACTAAGTGGCCTGCGGGCCGGACACAATTTGCCAGGGTTAGCTCCTGGCGGGCCGCCACATGCTTTGTTTATCTGAGTGTCCGCAGGTACGGCGGCTCGCAGCTCCCATTGGCCACGTTCACCGTTCCTGGCCAATGGGAGCTATGGGAAGTGGCGTGGACTGGGCCACCAATTCCTGCAGCCCCATTGGCTGGGAGTGGAGAACCAGAGCCAGGAGAAGCTGCAACCGGCAGGACCTACAGACGTTCAGGTCAATAAAGCATCTGGCTAATCCTGGCAAATCACATCCGGCCTACGGGCCATTTATTGCCCACCCCTGCCCTAGAGAGAGGGAACTCAGGGCAAAGCCAGAGAGGTCCTGAAGGAGGCCTAGGACCGATCCAGCCTGGGGAGAACGCTTAGGAGAAGGGTTCTGCTTTGGAATTGTTCCTCGAGTTACTCATCAAGCCCAGAGCCCTGGCAAGCGTAAGCGTGAGCCTCTGTGACCTGGGTACACATCGTCTGGGGCTGGAGGCGGCACAGCTGAAATTGACCAGCCTAGACTGCAGGCTGCACTGCGTTCCCAGGGCCTCCTTCCCCTGCCCATCCCCTCCCTGGGCTCTGCTGGGAAGAATTAGCTGTCAAAGGCAAGTTCCATTCATGGGCATTTCACCGTGAAAGCGCAGAGCAACTGTCCGGCTGGAAACAGCCGGTTTTCCTATTATAATCCAAGCGCCTTTCCCAGGGGCTGCTGCACTTATCTGCAGCTACAGCGCCTGGGGTTGATGTCAGCTCCGGAGGGGAGGGGGGGGTTGCTGAGCTTGGTACTCAGAGGGGATCCCTTCCTGGGAAAGTGGGAGTGATCAGAAGTGAGAGTTGCAGCAGACGGCCCACTTCCCTCCACCTGTGGGCCACACCCGTCCTGCAGCATAGTACAGGGCTGGCTCCTGAACGAGACGTAGGAATAAGATCTGACTGTGGCCGGGTATTAAGGGCAGGGTGGCTGCGTCCCTTTCTATCTACCTACATCCCGTCGGAGGCATGGCCGGGTATTAAGGGCAGGGTGGCTTTTCCTTTCTATCTACCTACATCCCGTCGGAGGCTTTCCTCGCCTGTCCTAATCTGGTGCGTGGCACCGCCGGGCACTGTTAAATGGCTGCCCAGCCTCTCCCCGCATCCTCCCCAGAGGTGGCTGCATTTCACGGGTGGAGGGGCCGCGATTGCTGGCTCCCTGTGCAGGGTTTGGGAAAGGCGACTCCATGCCGAGGTGACGTGTTGACACGAGCTGGCCTCTGGCTGCTTCGCCCTTTGGATCCAGACCACTCAGCACTCGAGAGAGCCGCCTTGATTTCTGGCCTCGGCGAGGGGGCACGAGCAATCACCTGATGACGTTTCCACCCGATCGGCATGGAAAGCCTCGGGGGATGGGGGTTTGCCGCTCGTAACGCCCCTCAGCCCTCATCCGATGGAGAAAAGGGCTTTGGGCCCACTGAGCAGGCGGGAGAAGTGTTCTGGCTGGCAGGCACCACAAACCGCTGTTGGTAGCTGCCCGGTGTCCGGGCTGCTCAGGCCTGTGACAGCCCCGGGAGGGGGGGTGGGTTTGATTTACACACAGTGTTCCAGGCAGGTGCAGTTCACTTTCTGCACCCATCCATTGAGAGAGGAGACATCAGCCAGGCTCAGGATGACCCCCCGGGGCAGCCCCTTCCCCGTGACTATGCTGGACACCTCCCCGGGTGTCAGAGCCCGGTCCCAGATGGCAAAGCCGGCCAGGCGCCCCACAAAGGCTTCCGAGGGGTCAAAGCCGCCCCCCACCACGTCCTGCTCCTGACCCAGAATGAGCGACCCGCCGGGGGGGATCTCGTAGCCCTCCTGGAAGCGGGAGCCCAGAGCCGCCAGTCTCCTGTCCACGTAGAACCAGAACTTGCCCTGGAGGGAGGACCAGATGACACACACGTGGTGCCATCGGCCGTCCAGCAGCCGCCCGACCGGCAGCTCCCGGAAGGCCGGGTCGCCGATGACGAAGTGGATGGCCCCCGGGGGGGCCGTGTTCCGGCCGTGCAGGACCAGCTTGTTGTCGTTCTCCTCCGTGGCGTAGGAGAGGATGGTGCCCAGGGAGCGAGCAGGGGTGCTCCCCCAGCCGCAGGCCGACAGCTCGTGCAGGCCGGTCCGGAAGGCCTGGCCGAAGGCGGCGAAGTTCTCCGTGGAGGCGTTGGGGAAAAGCAGCATGGAACCCACGTTGCAGACTGCGGAGGGGAGAGAGCGACGGTCATGGCCTGCTCTGAGCACACGGGGCTGTGAGGCGGGACCGGCCTCCTGCCCTTCCGGCAGCCCAGGCAGGTTCCCCCCACCCCACCCTGACAGTAACCCCTAGTGCCTCTGCCAGGGGGCCCCCCCGTGAGCACAGCATGTAGGGCGGGAGGCACCCCCAGGCACCTCGGGATCACCCTCCCCGTGGCCCTCGGGATCCTGAGGCACAGGGAGGCGAACGGCCAGGTTCTCAGCAGCGCTGAGTCCTTCCAGCTGCCCCGTGATGCCGACAAATCAGCCCGGGGCATAGGTGGCTTGTGGTAGCACTCGGGAGGTGCACCCCCCGTACCCCTGCCAAAATTCTGCTTGCTAAATGGGGTGCCTTGTGCCCCTCCCCCTGCAGGCACTAGCTGTAAGCGCCCCTACCTGCGGGGTGCAGGTAAATACAGCAGCCGAGGCCTGCTGGGGCTGGAGAAGGCTGGGTTAAACAACAGCGCCACCCAGCGGCTGCTCGACAGTCGCCCCAGCCTGCTCGGGTCTGACTGACGCTGATGCTGTATTAGCTAGAGAGAGTCAGGCCCCCAGTCTGAGGGTCTCAATGAACCCGTCACCTCCCTTCCTCTGGAAAGCCGCCTGAGCTGGGTCTATGTCCCGGCCCTGTTGGATGCTGGCGAGGCCGTGGGGCCGGAGAGCACGGGGTTGGGGGGAGCTGGCACCAGGGCCCCAGCCTGCCAGGGGCATCTGCTTCTGGAAGGGCCTCGAAGGCCTGGACAAGATGTTGAAACTTGATGCAGGAGACAAGGGGGAGCCGGGGGAGGACCCGAGCGCTGGCGGCCGCAGGGAGATCAGGCAGGAGGAGGACGAGGAATTCACAGAGCCCTGGAGGTGACGCAGGAACAGCAAAGACCCTGCTCCAGGCGCTTCGCAAGGAGAAGAGAAAGGAGTCAGAGGAGGGAGCTCGGGGGGGTGTTGGTGGATGGGCATCCCATGTGGGGCGTGTCCATCGAGGGGAAGGAGCCAGGACAGGGCGGGAGAGCAGGGGCTGAGCCCAAGGTGCGGACGGGGGAGGGAGAAGTGGGGATTAACAGAGATCTCAGAGCCCCGGAGGGGATCCAAGACGGGGAGGGTCTGAGGAGGGGGAATTCGCACCGTCTCTTGTCCAGCCCCCCCGAGCAGAGCAGGGTTCGGATAGGCCCAGAGAGCAGCTTGTACGGATCCCCCTTCCAGAGCCAGCCTGCGCTGGGCTTCCACAGAGAGTCCCCACAGCAACCTTGCTGGGGAGACCCCTGAGCCTCCTCCCCCGCCAGCCCTGCTGCTGCAGCTGCTACGCACCCCACCCCCACAGCCCCCCTGAGCTCCCTCTGGGCTCCCCACTCCGGGATGGTGGGGGCGCACAGCTGAGGGACTCAGCTCCCTGGGCAGGTGGCCTGGATGAGACCATCCCCTCCACTGAGCTTTTCTGCCATGGACCCTGGAGAATGGAAGATGTTTGGCAACACGACTCCGGGGCTGCCCCCACCCCAGTGGGTTTCACACGATGGGTGCGACCCAGTTCTGGGCGGGCGCTGGGGCTGGTTGCTGCGGGGGATCAGGTGAGCGGCAGGGGGCTAAGGCAGCTCCCTGCCTGTCCCGGCACCGCAGACTGTGCTGCGCCCCAGAAGCGGCCGGCGGCAGGCCCGGCTCCTAGGTGGGCGGGGGAAAGCACCCAGGGCTCTGCGCACTGCCCCTGTCCCAGAACTAGCTCCGGGTACCTGCTGCCGGCCGCTTCTGGGGAGCAGCATGGGCTGTGGTTGCTGGAGAGGCAGGAAGCTGCCTTGGCCCCCCTGCAACCGCTGGCCGGGAGCTGCTCTAGGTCAGCCCCTCCTGCCCCAGCCCTGACCCCCCCAAAGCCGGAGCCCCCTCATATTCCCCAAAGCTCCGTCCTCAGCCCCGCCCAGAGTCCACACTCTAGTCAATTACGCTGGGTCACAATTTTCAAACTGGGTCATGAGAAACCAAGTCAAAGGGCAGGCCTAGGATAACCTCCTCCGGGGCGGCAGGAGAACGGAACCAGCCCTACATACGTGTGCCTAGGTTCTCGGGTGCTGGTGGCCACAGCGGCTCGTAGGAGATCTGGGTCGTGCTGCGGGGCGGTGGCCTGGCAGCTTGTGGCTCAGGCATGGTGGGTGTCTCTGGGCCGGGGGTCTGACTGCCACGGGCCAGGCTGCTCTGCAGCCCCCTGTTTGCAGCCTGGGCCAGGAGCTGCTGGGCCAGGGTCTTCTTCCTTTGCCTGCGCTTGGCCTTCAGCTTCACGCCGGGGCCCTGGCTCCCCCCTGCCTCCGGCTGCTTGTCCTGGGGCGTCTGGTTCAGTTCCTGGGCTGTGGCCAGCTTCTGGTGCCCAGATGCCAGGGCCTCCTTGTGCAGCATGTGCTTTAGCCGCTGCTCCAGCACCTCCATCTGGGTTCCCTGGCTCCTGCTGGCCTCCTGCAGGCTCTCCAGCTGGCTCTGCAGGGTGTTGCTGCTGGCACGCAGGGCGGCGAGCTCTGCCGTGTGGCCGGCGGTCTGCAGAGTCAGGTTGGACAGGAGGGCGCTCTGCTGGAGTCTCTCCCCGGAGCTCTGCTTGCGGCTGTCGCCCAGGGACCCAGCCAGAGACGAGAGCTTGGAAGCCAACTTCTTGGTTCTTTTCTGTAGCTTCTTCATCCAGGTTTTCATAGGGCCCAGGTCCTCCTGCAGGGCGGCGTGCGAGGCATTGAGGGCAGCTGTGACGGTGTCGTGCTGAGCCGCCAGGTGCCGGAACCGAGTGTCGATGTTGTAGGAAATGTTGTAGTTCCCGGCGATCCCCTGGAGGTGTCGCAGGGTCACCTCCTGAAACCGGCGAAACTGCAAAACACCCAGAAACCGGAGTGATTCCCACCACTTAGATCAGGGGTCCTTTCTGGGCAGGGCTGCCAAACGCTGGCTAATCAACCCATCACCAACCCGCCCCCAGGGACTCTGGGAAAACTGAGACATGAGCATTACGGGTTCAGCTTTCACAAGGGGCTTGTCACCGTGGTTGCTTTGGCTGTGGTCAGCTCCTGTTGACTGCAGCTTGGAACCAGGGACCTTCCATGTCCCCCGATTTTCCGCCTACCACTGGGCCAGGGATCTCAGGGCGTCTACCCTGTGGCAGGATGGTGGGATTAGGGGCTTCTGCCCTGCAGGAAGGGGGGTCTCCAGGCTTCTGCCTCGCAGAAGGTGCCTGCGGGGCAGAACCTCTAGCCCCACCAGCCTGCTACAGGGCAGAAGCCCTCCGCCCCAGCATGCACACCCAGCTCTCAAACTTCTGATGATTCTCGTAGGTGGCTCGGAGGGTCAGGAAGTTTGGCCATCCCGGCATATTACACCCAGATGCTTGTACAGCTCAGTTACAGAGCTGGGATGGCTGGTGAGCCAGGTACAGTCGGAATGCCCGGGTAGCCCCGCCGCGATCAGACACCCTTTGGAGGAAGAGGGATTTGACCCTGTCGGTCCAATAGCAGAGTCGGGGATACTTGCCTGCTCCTCGAGTCTCCTGACCCTTTCAAAGAACGGCTTCCTCGGCTCCCCGGTCCTGGCCTCCTGCGACAGGCTCCCCGGCAGACACCCGGCAGCAAGGAGAAGGCAGATGGGCAGCATTTTCCTTGCCCAGCGTATTCTGCAGCACAGCCCCTGGGATTCTGGTTCAGCGCCTGGCTGCTCTTTCTCCCTCCTGCTCACTCTTGCGCTCAGGTTTTGTGGCGGATCTCAGTGGTTTCACCCCCCGACGCCAGGGGCTCCTGTGCCTCCTGCCAAGCAAAGAGGAGCCGGTGGTTTCTCCTCAGAGGAGATGAGCTCTGCAGACTCCCTTCGCATTCCCCAGGAGCCCCACGCAGCGGCAGCCAGTGCGTTCTGCAGGGGCGAGCGGGCTGGAGCAGGGGGTTGTGCGGATGGTTAGTCCTGGCCTGGGGGAGGGGCGGCGTTTGCACCGCGTCTGTTCATACAGTCACTTGACACCCCTTGGCCCAGAGTCAGCCCTGCTGGGTTATGGCCACTGGAAATTGCTGCTCAGCCAGATTCAGGCAGGAAGCCAGATGGGTTTTGCAGAGGTGCGTGGGGCTGAGCTGATCACATGGTCTTTCCCCTACCCGGCCCTGGCCCTGCTGTCTCCTGCTAGTGCTCCCCAGGGTTTGTGGATGGCTTCCACTCAGCCCGGCTCACCAAGACATGACTCACAGACCGGGCAGCCACTTGTCAGCTGGAGAGCGCTGTCTACCTGCACCGGAGGCCCTGTTCCCCATGGCTCCCTGTGTGTGAAAATGGGCTATTTGTGTCTGTGGGTGTGTGTGTAAGCCTATGTACGGGTGTGTCTACAAAGTGAAAATGGGTGTCTGTGCACGTGTGAGTATGTGTCAGTAGAATCTGTAGATGTGTGTCCATGCATCTGTGTGGCTAAGGGAGTCCATGCACATGTGAGTGTGTCAGTGGATGTTATGTATGTGACTGTACATGTGCGCATGCGTGTGTTACCGTGTGAGAGATGGAGTGTCAACAGTGTATACCAGCTCATGTGGACGTGTGTCTCTGTGTGTGTCAGTGTCTCTCTGTGTCACTGTCTTTGTGCACGCCAGTGTGCCCATGTGTCAGTATGTTAGTTTATGTGTATTAACATTTTTGTGTGTGTCAGTGCCTCTGTGTACCTCTTGGTGCAGTATTTGTGAATGTCAGGCTGTTTCACTGTCTCTGGGTAACAGTTTTTGCATATGTGTCAATATATGGGTGTCAATCAGTGTCTAGAAGGGTGTGTCAGTGTCTCTGAATATCTGTGTCTCTGGGTGTCAGTCAATGTCTGGGTGTCACTGTCTGAGTGTGTCAATCCATATCCAGGGGTGACAGTGTCTGGGGGTGTCAGTCCATGTCCAGGGGTGTCAGTGTCTTTGGGTGTCAGTCCATGTCCGGGGGTGTCTGTGTCCAGGGGTGTCAGTGTCTTTGGGTGTCATTCCATGTCCAGGGGTGTCAATGTCTATAGGTGTCAGTCAGTCTGTGTCTGGGGGTGCCAGTGTCTGAAGGTGTCACTCAGTCCGTGTCCAGGGGTGTCAGTGTTTTTGGGTGTCAGTCAGTCCGTATCCAGGGGTGTCAGTGTCTGTGGGTGTCAGTCAATCCATATCTGGGGATGTCAGTGCCTGGGGGTTTCAGTTAGTCCATGTCCAGGGTTGTCAGTGTCTATAGGTGTTAATCGTGTCCGGGGATGTCAGTGTCCAGGGGTGTCAGTCAGTCTGTGTCCAGGGGTATTAGTGTTTGTGGGTGTCAGTCAATCCATGTCCAGGGGTGTCAGTCAATCCGTGTCTGAGGGTGTTAGTGTCTGGGGGCGTCTGTGTTTGGGGATGTCAGTCCATGTCCGGAGGTTTCAGTCAGTCTGTGTCTGGGGGTATCAGTTAGTCCATGTCCAGGGCTGTCAGTTAGTTTGTGTCCAGGTGTCAGTGTCTGTGGGTGTCAGTCTGTGTCCAGAGGTGCCAGTGTCTGGGGGTGTTAATCAGTCTGTGTCCAGGAGTATCAGTCAGTTCTGGGTATCAGTGTCTGTGGGTGTCAGTCTGTGTCCGGGTGTGTCAGTGTCTGTGAGTGTCAGTCTGTGCCTGGGTGTGTCAGTATTTGTGGGTGTCAGTCAGTCTGTGTCTGGGTGTGTCAGTGAGTGTCAGTCAATGTCTGGGTGTCAGTTAGTGTTCGGATGTGTCACTGTCTGAGTGTGTCAGTATCTGTGGTATCCTGGTATATCAATCCATATCCAGGGTGTCAGTGCCTGTGGATGTCAGTCTGTGTCCGGGGTTGTCAGTTTCTGTAGGTGTATGTGTCCAGGGTGTCAGTGTCTGTGGGTGTCAGACCTTTAGAGGCCCTAAGCACTTTAAAGATTATGGTGCCCCCCCCCATATGTAATTCAAAATAAAAACAATACTATACCGTAAAATAAAATTTTATTTTTCGAAATGACACAAAACTTACATGTATACTGAAATTAAAATAGCTGCTTTCTAGATTTTCTGATTGCAAAATTCTGGATAAGTTAATCGAAGCTGACTCAACGAAGCATGTCCGCTTCCATACACAATAGGGAAAGTGAATCAAGTCTGTCCTGACACATTGTTGTTCTCTGAGGGTTTTTTATTCTTTTCAGCTGAGAAAAAGAGCATTCTGTGGAGCAGTTAGTAATCATCAATGTTAAAAAAATACGTAGTGCGATCTCTACATTTGGAAATACACATTGTATTCCGTCTTTCAATATTTTGTCATGAAGATCAATGTGACTGAATTTCATTTTTCCTGTTTCATTAAACTTTGCGCGCATATAACAGTGGATCTGCCGTACTTCTCCACAGAGATTCATGTTCAAGTCAACAGGGTATGAGTCAACTAGCTTTTGGGAACCTTGTGATTATTGTTCATCAGATAAGTCCATCTCATTCAGAAAAGAAAATCTAGTTGATACTTCTTTGTACACTTCACCTCTCCTCTTCATATGAGCTTCAAGTGTATCAATTATAGCGTAGTAAGTAGATACGTGAAATTTGTCTCTAGGATTCAATGCTGTTTCTGTTACACCGCTATCATTTGCTTGTTTTTTCCTGATTCGCTTGCGGGACTGGGCTTCTTTGTAGTTAGTATCAGGCAAGATATTTTTTGATATGTCTTCAAATCTTTCAAAATCATTCCTCAAAGTGTGCAAGTGGTCTGCTAATGACTGACAGAGGTCTGCACATGTTTTCAAATCCAATTCTTTTTCTTGGAGAGCTTGAATTGTGTGGTAAAAGTGTCAAATTTCATTCCGCATGGTCAACATGAATACAGACTCTAGTTCTTGCATCTTATCTGCAATGTTTTCTGCCTCTCGTATAGTCTCTCCCTTTTGTGATTGGTCTTCAGCTATATTTTCTAATGCATACGCAATCTTTGAGTAGGACTCCAGAATTGCACTTGTTGCCACTGCATGAGCCTCCCAGCGAGTATTAGAAAGAGATTTCAACACACGATCATGGCCCAAATATGTTTCAAGAACTGCCCATCGGTGTGTTGAGGCAGAGAAAAATGTATAAAGTAACTGGACTGTTGAGAAAAAACTTACTGCCACCGGACAACAATCAACAGCACTTCGGCCAACAAAATTGAGAGAGTCTGCAGCACATGGTATGAATATGGCGGTGATGGGCTCGCCAGGACCCGTACTCCCCTGGGAGGGCCCTCATCCACTTCCCCGGCAGAGGGGCGGGGCGGCGTAGCAAGGGGGGAAGACGCTCGCCAGCATGGCAGGACGCCGCGTGCCCCATCTCGGAGGAAGCGAGGTGGAACCACGCCGGCACGTGCCGGTTGGCTGCCGCGTAAGCCGTGGGCCCGGGAAGGCCCTCAGGGCAGGGCTCTGAGCTCACGGCCCTGCGTCCTAGGGCGTGAAGATGCCAAGGGGCGGGACGCAGTATGGCTGCGGCCTCACCTGGGCCATTTGAAAAGCGGCTGGGACGGAGGCAGCGAGGTGGCTCAGGGGGAAGGAGCCTCCGATCCCACCCTAAGCGGCAGGACAGTTCCCCGCACTGGAGGAATCAGCAGGAGAATGCCAGGACGCTGCAGGGTCTGAGCGACTGTAAGGACAACAGCGAACGATTAAGTCCCCAGGATCTACCGGCAGGTCTGGAAGCCGGGGAGGGGATAGGAAGCAGCCCAGGGAAGAGCGCTTCTGGCGCCTGTGGGCAGATGCATTGCGGGACTAACCCCATCTGTGGTGCAGGGGGCACTAAACCCTGCACTTAGGGCCCCAGGCTGTGACCCGGTGGAGAGGGTGGGCCCAGCTCCCCCCTCCCCTTTCCCCTACACCTGACATCTGCTGGGAAACCTATACGGCAGTACACAGGCAATCCAGGAAGTTTTTGGAGAATGTTGGGGATAACTTCTTGACACAGGTGCTGAAGGATCCGACCAGGGGCCGTGTGCAGCTTGACCTTATGCTCACAAACAGGGAGGAACTAATAGGGGAAGTGGAGGTGGGTGACAACCTGGGAAGCAGTGATCATGAGATGGTAGATTTCAGGATCCTGACCAAAGGAAGAAAAGAGAGTAGTAAAATACACACCTTGGACTTCAAAAAAGCAGATTTTGACTCCCTCCGAGATCTGATGGGCAGAATCCCCTGGGATGTTAACATGAAGGGGAAAGGAGTCCAGGACAGCTGGCAGTATTTTAAAGAAGCCTTACTGAAGGCACAGAAAGAACTTACAGAAAGTGGAAACTTGGACAAATGACTAGGGAGGAGCTTAAATGTATAGTTCGAGAATGCCGGGGGGTTATCAGGAAGGCGAAAGCGCAAATGGAGTTGCGACTGGCTAAGGATGTGAAGGATAACAAGAAAGGTTTCTACAGGCATGTCAACAAGAAGAAGGTGATCAGAGAGGGTGTGCAGTCCCTAATGGATGAAGGAGGTAACCTAGTGACAGAGGATGTGGGGAAAGCTGAAGTACTCAATGCTTTCTTTGCCTCTGTATTCATGGACAAGGTCGGCTCCTGGACTTCTGCGCCAAGCGACGCAAGATGGGATGAAGATGGACAGCCCGTGGTGGGTAAAGAACAGGTTAGGAACTATTTAGAAAAGCTAACCGTACATAAATCCATGGGTCCGGACTTAGTGCATCCGAGGGCACTGAGGCAGTTGGAAAATGTCATTGAGGAGCCTTTGGCTATTATCTTTGAAAAGTTGTGGAGACTGGAAGAAATCCCGGATGATTGGAAAAAGGCAAATGTAGTGCCCATCTTCAAAAAAGGGAAGAAGGACGATCCAGGGAACTATAGGCCGGTCAGTCTTACCTCGGTTCCTGGAAAAATCATGGAAGGGATCATAAAGGAGTCCATTTTGAGACACTTGAATGAGAGGAAAGTGATCAGGAATAGTCAGCATGGATTCACAAAGGGCAAGTCATGCCTGACCAATCTGATTAGCTTCTATGATGAGGTAACTGGCTCAGTGG